TTTTCGACATAAAAAAACGAGTTCTGAAAAATTAAAAGTTACATATTCTGAATCAGCGTAAAATTCTCTATCGAATAATGTATAGTAAAGCCGAAAACAAAATTTTACTTGAAGTTCGAATTGCTGGTATCTTATGAAATACTAACATTGTATAGTGTTGTTGAATTCTTCCTTTGAGACTCGTTTTGTTTTAATAACTAATAAAATTTGTTTTAATTTACTCTTTAGTTTCACTATTTATCGTACTTTAGAATCCAACATCATCATCGTCTCGGTTAATATCCGAATCATCGTATGTTAAAATTGATGATAACGAATCTTCTACAGCCGATAAACCAACGGCGATTGATGAAGCCACGACCTACTTAGAAACAAATCCACTTGTTGTTAATGAATCTTCTTTAACAAACGGCGAAAATAATGAAACTACTCAATCAACAGTTCTCACAATAGAACCATTTAATGAATCAAACTCTTCTCTGCCAACACTAACCTCATCAACCACAGTGCAACCAACATCCACATATGATAAAACAGATAAAGAACATTCACAACAGTTACAAGATAAGTATTATGATAATCCGGTGAATGAAGGAGAATATATCAATCCAAGAGGAATACGATTTACAACGGCTACAAATACAAAAGGTAAAATTGTAGAATTTTAGTAATAGAAACAGAAATTTTCTTTTTCATATGAAAACATTTCCGAACGAATATCGGCTAGAGAAACCTATTATCTTTCATTTAACTAGAAAGTTTTCATTTCAGAGAAATGTGAGATAGAAGCAGACGGTAAGTTCCCTAGTGGCAATTACCAGTTAATGCCTATTAGAACTATCGGAATAAAATCTCTAATAGTGCATTGCTTGAGCTTGAGCTTGAGCTTGAACAAGATTTATGAAAGAGGGTGAAGGAACTAGCACTTTTAGTAGCAGAGTTTCTAACACTATCTTATTTCGGTTGAGAACGCTAAGTACAGTTTCTAACAAAACACTAAATTTTTGCTAACTAGTCTAAGATGTACACAAATTTCTCCGTTACAAGATAGACAGTTGCTTAGCTCTAATCATTCTAACAAATGATAGCAAGAATAAATTCGACTATTGAATTAATCGCGAGATTCAGTAACATTTTGAAAAAATGTCGACTCATTTTTCAGAATAAAAAATTAATGAAGCGTGATTATCATTTTTTTGTGTAATAACTTTTATCTTATTTCTTCTTACGAAAACAACTATGTCTCATGCGCCATTGAACAACATGTTTTTTTATTTTAGAACCATTGACGCCTTACGGATGGTCATGTGTACGTGGGCTATTTCGATTTTTAGCAACATTAATCAATAGTTATGACAAGTAAGATTTGCTGACTATTTCGATCTGTATGTCTGTTTGATTCTATCGTCCATATTTTTAGAAATAATACCGAGTATATGATGACAGTAGGCTTAAATTTATTAACAGTGGCTCTAGAAGCTGGAGCAGATTACATCGCAAATTATTCATTATTATTATCCATTGTTAAAGATTTATTATGTAAAAATTTAATTGGGGTAAGAAAGAGAATAGTTGTGACAATTTATCTCGAATAATATAACTTTTTCACATTTCATACGAAGAGTATTTGATTGTTTCATACCTCGGTCAATGTATTATATATATTCTTGTTATTTTCAAGTATAGATTAAACGATATTGTTCTAATTATTCATATTGTTTAGATTTTAAACAATGGTCGTCTTCCATTATTCACATCAGCATTACGTGTATCCTTCTTGATATTTGAAAGTTTAAGAACACATTTAAAATATCAATTAGAAGTAATTCTTAGTCTAAAATATTCATAATTCATATTTATCATTTTGTTTTCATTTTTAGTTTTTCATTACACGTCTGATGGAATTGATTGTTAGTGAACAATCTAAGATAACTGTCGAACAAAAAGAAATTGCTTTAGAAACTATTGTTCAATTATTACGAATACCCGGATTACCAGCTGAATTATATCTCAATTATGATTGTGATCTATATTGCACAAATTTATTTGAAGAATTAGCAAAAATGCTATCAAAAGTGCGTATCGATGAAATGGAGTAAAAGTAGAAATTAAACAAAAACATTGTTTGTTAAAAAATATATAATTTAAATATCTTTTTATTGAATATACAAATAAGTAGTTATTATTTAGAATTCCTTCCCAGTTGCTGGTTTAACATCAACTCATATTCTATCGTTAGATGCTTTATTGTCTGTTATCGATCATATCGAATTAGAATGTCAATGTCAACTTCAAAAGCAAAAAAATGATTGTATGATCTTATTGGTTATAAATCTAAATCGAATGACTTGTATATCTATTTCTTTTATTTTAGCTGCTGCTCAAGGTTTGACACGTCCTGTACCATCTGGATATGCGTTAGCATTATCTATGCAAAATATTGATACAAATAGAGGTATATATTTGACTTAATTTGACAATTTTTACTAATTTTTAATGGTATCGTCAATGTTTTTCGCAGTACAAATTTTTTGATCTAGAGATATCCTAGTTTTATGTTCTTCTAGCAATCTAAAATGTCTATCATAATGCAATATGTAATTTATGTATATTTTTAGCAATTACTCCTCGTGAATCTCGGCACGGTCCTTGTATTCGTCAAAATCGTATGCAAATTTCTACAAACTTACCCACACAAGATGATTTAAAAAAGATAAAACATGAAAAAAAGGTACACTAAATCACATTCTCTCTCTCTCTCTCTCTTTTATTCGTATAAGTTGTTTCTTATTTATTTTCTTTTAGTTATTACGTCAAGGTAGTGAATTATTCAACTCCAATCCTTCAACTGGTATTGCATTCTTACAAGAATATCATCTGTTATCTGATCCTCTTCAACCTCAAGAAATAATTAAATTTCTCAAAGATAATCCACTGTTAGATAAAAGAGTTATTGGAGAATATTTATCGAATAAAAAGCAAGCACATTTGTTAGAAGATTATGTCAAGTAAATTATAGTGAGAAATATCTATTTCTTATCTATTTTTATGTTGTATCCATTTTTAGAACATTTAATTTTGATGATATAAGAGTCGACGAAGCAATAAGAATATATTTATCCGAATTTCGATTACCCGGTGAAGCACCGTTGATATCTAATTTACTGGACAGTTTTGCAAAACATTGGAGAGTAAGTTCTCATCTGACGACTAAGCTATTGTCTGTAACCAAAAGCTATTGATTTACTTGGTGAACGAATAAATATCAAATATATTCAATAGCAAAAGTCTCTAATGTGCCTTTGTAATTTTTTTTTTTAATATTTTAGTTGAGCAATAATCTTCAATTTGGAAATGATGATGCAGCATTTACATTGGCGTATGCATGTATCATGTTAAATGTAAGTTATCTTATATTTCTGGCACACTGGGCATTTTTCCATAAAGCAAGCGGACATCTCGTTCTTTTTAGTTAAAAATGATTATTTTCGCATAATATGTTCTTATGCGTCAGATATTAATAAAACTAAAAAAATTCGAATTCAAAAAAAATGTTTTTCGATAAAAAGTTCCGTAGCATTGAATTTTTGTCAAAAAATATTTTATTTGTAAAATTAATAAATTAAACATCATTCGATGCAAGTTTTCATGCTGATTCCGAATATCACATTAGTTTCCAATAAAAGTGTTTCTCGACTGAGGAATATGGAAAATACCTCAAAAATCAAGAGTTTTTGGAAAACCTGCGGAAAAGCCCAGCAATAAAACTTCATAAAGCTGCATGCACCATAGACACAGGACATCGAGGCGAACATTTTGATGTGAGAATGGATGAGATTGAACCTTAGCTCTATTTAGCGTTGTGATTTTACTAAATACATCCATTTTTCAGCATATTTTTCATGTTTCTTTAGTTTCTTTATCGAATAACTCCGTAAAGGAAAGCCGTAGAAACAAAATTTTTACGCCATTCGATAGAGCGTTGAATGAACTATACCTAACACTATTCAAATCACAGAAAAGCTTACTTTCGATTTTTGGCCAAATGTCCGCCTGTATGACCACTGTGTTGCGCGTGTCAGATGCATTAAGCATCTAAGATTTTCTTCATGAATGCCATTCTTCTATAGTAGACAACTTTTATTTGAACTTTAGAGATAAAACGATTATCTTTTTTTATTTTAGGTTGATCAGCATAATTCAAATGTTCGAAAACAAAGTACACCAATGACAGTAGATGTAAGTAGTTAGTTTTCGTCAACATACCATTTTGTAAAATGAAAATAGATCATAAATTTAGATTATACTATATTGATCATATAATGTTCAATCTCTTTTTTAGGAGTTTAAACGTAATTTATCTAAAATGAATAATAAAGATAATTTTGATGATAAAATGTTAACGGATATTTATAATGCAATCAAGTGAGTTTCATTTGAATATTTTTATTTGTGTAATTGACTAGTATATGTTTTATTATAGAAGTGAAGAAATTGTAATGCCAGCTGAACATGTTGGAGTTCTAAAAGATCATTATATGTGGAAAATGATGTTAAAACGAAGTCAAAGTCAATCGACAACGGATAAATTTATTCATTCTCCAGCTGGTTCTTACAACTATGATATATTTACAATTATATGGGGACAAACAATGGCTGCATTATCATTTGTATTTGAAAAATCACATTATGAATTAGTTATTAATAAAGCGATGCAAGGTTTCAAGTAAGTCGATTTTTCTCATCTTACTTTGTAGATGATTTTAGTTTTATCTGTTGTTTTAGTAAATGTGCTAGAATCGCAGCTCACTATTTAATGAGTGATGTTTTTGATAATCTGGTTATTTCATTATGTAAATTTACAACATTATTAAACAACAGAGAGGTACGTAGTGTGAGAGCAGAAAAAATCAAATGTATCATTAATTCGATTTAGAATATCTGCAGTGATCATTTACATTGTTTCATTTATTATTTGAAAATATGTATTATTCACTGTAAAGATCTCTTCTCGAAATAATGATATAATTTGTTTTTGAGTATCTGTAACACACACACACACTTTACTTTTTATGTTGTTTACATTTTGTTTGTGTTATTGTTATTTTAGTTGAATGAAGATTCGGTATTTCGATTTTTTCTTCTTTCTTTGCATGACATTGCACGCTCATTGTCACATATTTATATTGATTTTCAAAAAATGAACAAGATATTTTAACGAATACGTATATTGAATTTGAAAACTACCTAATTTTTTCTTCTTTTTTTTATTGAGAAAATTAGTAACATTCGTGGAACGAAAAAAGATGAAGAAAAGGAATAATTACATCATATTCTCTTTTTTACCTTATTTCGTTCCCATATTCTTGGTATTTCACGATCTACATATAACATTTCAATTTTTATATTTACTTTAAATCACAGTTAATTTTCCATTTTTATTATTTTAATGTGTGCGACGAAGACTTCTTCGAAGTCGAAGCATCACTCTCTCCCTCTCTCTCTATATATATATTGGATCATTTCTAATTGGTTCTGATTCTTTCTACTTTCTCGTTCTAGTGGGTTGAAAATCTTCCAATTCAATTTGGTTTAAATCGTAAAGCTCGTTTAGCAGCCACCGTTGTATTTAGTATTGCTCATGTCCACGGTGATATTTTAAGAGATGGATGGAAAAATTTATTAGAATGTATTATACATTTGTATAAAGCAAATCTACTTCCCAGTGTTCTTGTTGAAGTAAATAGACTTGACGTTGTATCGAATTTCCATCTAATTTGACTATTCTTTAGGTTGAAGATTTTCTTGATCCAAGCGGAAGAACAACGTTAATTAAAGAGCAAATAACACAGACACCTAAGTAAGAACAAATCAATTGAATGTTTGAGATAAATAGAATAGTCAATTATGCAATATATCGTGTGGTTTATATGACAGACAATGTTCTTTGAAATAAGTTTTTCTTTAGAAAAAAACAAAAGATTCTCTACGGTTATAAAAAGTCAAGATTCAAGTGATGTGAAATATATTTGTCTTTATTTTTCATTTTAGAACTGATATTGGTTTATTTAGTTCATTAGCCTTTTTGTTAGGAGGTAATGATAGTCAAATATCGTCACAAAAACAGCCCACAGTCGAAGAACAAGAAGCTATAAAAGTCGCTCAATCATGCATTGAAGAATGTCATCTCGAACAATTGTTACAAGAAACAAAATTTTTAATTATCGATTCGTTGAATGAACTTATTAAGGCACTCATTTATGGCTGTCAAGGTCCAGAACAATTAGCTGGATCAGATATTAAATTTGATCAAGATTCAGCTGTATTCTGTTTGGAATTATTAGTCAAAGTTGTATTACAAAATAGGTAAATTAAAACGAAATATGATCACATAAAAATAGTTAATTATAAAAATAATTTTCTTCTTTCTTAGGGATCGTGTTACATTAATTTGGACAACTGTGCGTCATCAATTCTATTCAATATTAGTAAATGCTAATGGAAATTCATTTTTTGTCGAAAGAGCATGTGTCGGATTATTGAGAATAGCAGCAAGATTATTGAGAAGAGAAGAATTAGCATCGGAAGTATGTGGTTATTTAACACAATTTCTCCGAAAATATTTATTAGTTGTATATTTCTTGTTTTATTTTAGGTTTTAGCTTCATTACGTATGTTTTTACTTATGAAACCACCAGTTATTCATCAATTATCATCTGAAATTGCTTTTGGTTTACATGAATTATTGCGAACAAATGCCGCTAATATTCATAAGAGTGATGATTGGTTTACACTATTCTCCTTGCTTGAAGTAGTGGGGGCTGGAGCACATCCACCACCTGTGCTTCAAACAACAATGATGAGTCCTCAAACACCACCAAAAACGTTTCTTCATCAAACACTATCGAATTCAAGCAAATCAACTACAGATACTGGTAATTACTGCTTATCTGTTTATAGAGAAAAACCGGTTGCTAATTCTCATTAAAATTAGACTCTACCTTCATGTTAAACATTTGTTAAATTTAAAATTGTGATTCCATTATGCTAATTGTAGGTGCGCAATCTGACAGTGAATGTTGTGCCACATCTAATTGTCAATCTTCATTATGTACAGAAGATGTAAAGGATAAAGGCTACACATCGGATACGGAACTCTATCATCAGTCAATTTATCAACGACAGGTATCGGGTGAAACTGACGATTCCAATATCAAAAAGGATTATATTGTGGTATGTATAAATCGACAGATAGTAATAATAGAGATATTATTTATTTTTTATGCATATTCTAGGTATCTCATGATGATCTAGAAACAATTCGTACTCATCAGTCAATAATAAATCAATATAAAATTGATTTAAATGAAAAATTAAGTCGACATGATCGTCGTGCACTTATTAAATGTTGTGAAACTCTAACATTCCTTGTTCGTGATACGGCTCACGTAACTCCAGAAAATTTTGAATATTGTATTCATTGTATTAGAACATTTATTGAAGCAACTGTTAGCTCAAATCAAATTCAACAACAACAAAAAAAAGCACAACAACCTCTTTCTAAGACAACACAACGGTAAGAATATATCCTTATTCATGTTTTTTTTGTCATGCACTTTTAAATCATTAGTTAACTTATTTTTATTGCTTAGATCAAAGAAACGTCAAACAGCAAATGATCAACTTTCAAGTTCATCATCCTCTTTATCTCTTTCGAGTTCTCAAAATTTTCAACAGCAACAATTTCAAACAACAACAAAAATTCGTCAGTCAACCATCGATTATGACGAAGATGATGATGATGAAACGATAAAACAAGAATATCAGTCATTAAGTTTACAACTATTAGATTTAATGCATACTCTTCACACGCGTGCATCATCAATCTATAAATCATACTCAGAGGAGAAGATAAAATCGACACACCAGCGTTCTGATCATACGACAACTTCATCAATACTTTGGTTTAAATGTTGGTGTCCTATACTACAAGGTCTGTATCATGACAAATAGACAAAATATAAGAGATTTGTAATTGTAAATTGTATTTTATAATTATCTGAAGGTATGGCTCGTTTGTGTTGTGATTATCGTCGTCCCGTTCGTTCATCAGCTCTTAATTATTTACAACGAAGTGTTTTATTGCCTGAATTACATATACTATCTGCACAAGAATGGGAAAGTGTATTTAATAAGGTTTTATTTCCACTTTTATTAAAATTGTTAGAATCAATTAATATTAATGATTTATATGGTGTAGAAGAGACACGAGTTCGAGTATCGCAGTTATTGTGTCGAATATTTTTACAGCATTTAACACCACTCTTAACACTACCAACATTCACTGCACTATGGTTAACAATACTTGATTTTATGGATAAATATATGAAATCAGATCAAACAGATATGCTTGTAAGTAGAGATGACGTTGTAGAAAAAATGAAAGTGATGCACTGTTTTGACATTTTTAGCGTGAATCTGTTCGTGAATCGTTGAAAAATATGCTGTTAGTTATGCATACGACCGGTCTATTTAATGTCGGACAACAGTTAACCACAATATCAAAAGATCGAATTCATAGTTTTCTTCCTGGACTATGGGATGAAGTGTTCAAAATGTCTCCATCACCATCTATAGTACAAACTCTTCAACAATCGACATCTCAAACGGATAATATTTCTCAGGAAACAGTAACAAACTCAAGTACGTTTAGTGAATAGGAATTGTTCTAGTCACAGCATCAATGTTCTTTCCTCTTTTAAAGATGAGACATCAAGTGTAATGTTGAATAATGTAACACCATCTACATCAGAGGAGGAAAATACAACTTCTGCACCTATTACAACGATTGATAATACAGTGAATGCTTCTTCTACTTCTTCGACTCAACAATCACAAAGTGTACGTACAAGATCTAGTCTGTAATTAATTAGTATGCACAATACTTCATTTTATGCACATAGAAATTTATAAATAGATTGTAGATGTTGTAACTCATCTCAAATGAAAATTGTTTCCAAAATTTTGATATCATATTTGATAAAAATAAAAATCATTAAATTTTTTTTTCTTTGTTTCAATACTGGGATGGATGGATAATCATTAAGAACTATTGTGTATTTTCATTCTAAAAGAAAATCATTGATTACTTATTGCATGATATTATTTTTTTTTTGCACTTATTCTTAAAACGCTTACTCTATCTCCTTATAGGAGGAAAACAGTGGTTGTGTACAATCGTGATACATATTCTTTTTTACGCATAAAGCTTTTGTGGCGGGCCACAATCATTATTTTATATATATGTATATATATGTATTGTTAATCGTTGTTTATGTATTTTTCCAGTATTACTTTTAAGGTACATCTGATTTTAATTCATGAGTAACTTACAAATTTTTTAGATTAGATTTGAATTCAAGTATAAGTGCTGTTCACACAGTGGTGTAAAACTGTTTGACTATGTTTCTATAATATAAGATATTCTAGTATGGAACACGTATTAATTTAAATATAATTCATGATATCATTAAGTTTAATTAGAGATTAATGTATGATGAACATATCATTGTGTGTGACAGCATAGCTTTATTTCAAATGTAACGGATGGAATAGAAGAAATTGACCAACCGTTCAGTATTGTCTGGTTCTCTCTTCTTACTTAGAGTTTCTTCCCTTTAAGTATATTTTTTTCGCAAAATATTCTCCATTTCATTCTCTATAAACAAAATATCCAACATTTTTCTATATACTGTAAGAATGAAAGAATAGAGAGACAATACTACGACATTTCTCGATAATTTTCTAATACGAAACACAGTTTTATTATATTATATTTATCATATTTTGGGGATATGAAAAGAGATGATAAACATTTTGTATCCCATGACAAGCTCTTTCAACGAGTTGTAAGTAAAACTCTTCATAATCACAAGTGGTTGGGACGGTTTTTTTTGTTCTATCGATTTCATTAAAAATCATCGTTCCCAAACTAGAGTTTTGGGGCTGTTCAAGAGAGAAAATTAAGTAAGTTCAAATAGCGACTTTTTCTTTCCGGCACCAAGGCGAAAAGTCCAATTCTTTTCCATTTTCTAATAAATTTTGATAAATCGCCTGTTGTGTCAGAGAACATGTTTAACGTAAACTGGTGATATATGAAAAGAAAGACGACTTCTCAAAGTATTGGAGCATACATTTCGATTCCACATGCAACCGTACTCAAAATAATTTTTTTTCATCGTATTTCGTATTAGAAAATTATCGAGATTGAAGTGTCGTAGTATTGTCTCTCTATTCTTTCATTCTTACAGTATACAGAAAAATGTTGGATATTTTGTTTATAGAGAATAAAATGGCGACTATTTTGCGAAAAAAATATGCTTAAGGGGAGAGAAGTGTAAGGAAGAGGAGAGAACCAGAGAATGATGAGAGATCAATTTCTTCTGTCGTACTCGTTATTTCTACTTCAATTTGTTAAGACAAAAAACACATTCATAATTAAATATAGATAGATCAATATAATTCTATATTTTTCTGCATTTACATTTGTTTTAGGCCGGCATTAATCGAAGTGTGCAATCTCAAATTCAAGAATTGTGATGAACAGTTAGTGTTGTCTATCGTATCTCTGACAATTACTACTTCGACTTTTCACTATTTTCTTCATTCATTTGATTACGTACATTTATTTTTAAGAAAGAAAAAGAAATATTTTTTTTTAATTTTAAACCTATAAATGTTCAGCGTTGTGAAAAACCAAGATCTAATAGTTATTTATTATTCTGCTTGCGTACGAAAAGTAATTATTTATTTTTAGCCTTTTTTCATTGTATTAACATACTTTTTATTCCCGTTTACATAATACTTTTTTTGTTAAATGTTCTCTGTCATCTACTACTAAAGTATTTCTCTATAAATTTATATAGATATTATATTTATATATAAGCGAATAGGATAACGATTGCAGTCTGTCTTGAAATATTTATAATAAGACAGTTGTACTCTAGCATCCGTTAACAGTCACTAATATCCAAGAACGATACGAGCTACAAGCTATTTGACTCTCAATGTACAATTACGTTTATATTTACCAAATTATAAAATTAGAGAACTGCTGACGTGTTTTTTGGGTGTTAGTAGGTGTTAACGTATTTTATAAAATGGATATTTGTAAAACGTGAGTACACCCACTAACACCTCAAAATCAGAATCAAAATGTGAAATAGCTAATCGATAGAGCTCGCCGAGTTGAGTATACTAATCACTCGCTAACACCCAAAACAATCATTAATAGCTGAGGTTTTTAGTCATTTTTACAATTAAACACCCACTAACACTCAGAAAAAGCGATACTAATATCCCAAAAAGTATGCCAAATTGATCTACATCACTCTCTGATCTTATCAGTACGGCTTTTGATCGAAGAAAACGACTTAGAGATTTCTGAAAACATTTTTAAAAAAGATCATTGGGAAGCCTATGAAATTCTCTACAAAACCGCTACTTTGCATTTTTACAAAAGTTATTATCACATGTTTTATTCGATTTCATTGTCTAAATTGCGTCCTTCTGCAAATGGAACAATTGTAACTCAATTAGTAAGAGACCAACGTCCATGACAATTTTAAAGTAGACGCAACTCTCTCTTCTCTATCTAATCCATGCATGCCAAATTACAAGGTTTATTGAAGCCATGATTGATAAAAGAAAGCGTTAGTGACGAATAATATTGTATCATAGCTTGAATAACATATGAATGGAGAAGCAGATAAAGTTTTAGGTTATTTCACTTGCTACAAACCACTACTTTGCAAGTTTACAAAAGTTATTATAAATTTGTTTTTATAAAAAAATCACACAAAAACAAAATTTTTATTTATAAATAAAAAATCGCACATATTGAACATGTTGTAAGGTGCAGCTAATTCAAAATTGCAGTAAAAAAAATTTCTGACCTTATTATACATATTCTGATTCGCTGCATCGAGCTGATCTCAAATATCACTTTCGCAGCTTTTAAAAGCTCTTTCTTCATGGAGAAAAATGCGAATAACTGAAGATCTGCAAAGCCTCAAAAACCGACCTCCATCATAAAAGTAATTTTTTTAAAGTTGTATTACAAAAAAAGATGGTTAAAAAAAATCTCGAATTCGGTTTTTTAGTTTTTTGGACATTTCTCCTGATCGAAAAGTCGCAGAAGACTCGAAAACGTCTCACTTTGTTCAGAATTAAATTCTCTATCGTTCTAGACCATTTTCAAAAAGTCTGATTCTTGAGAAGGTGTTCTGGAGATTCGGTCTCTGGATAACCCTCTGGATGGTTTTTGAAAATTTTAAAAATGTTTCTGTTGAATTCACCATCGCGTTTAGTCTATTTGACGCCATTTTCATTAAATTTGGACGAAAACATCGAGACTTAGTCCCGAATGACCGGACCCTTTTTCGCTTCGTTCCAAAGAAAGTCGTTTTTCGCCGCGAAGAAGATGAATTTCAAAAATCGGCACACATACTTTTAAAGCTTGTTTCAGGGCGATTCTTTTCTCGTATGACTCCATGCGATAGCTCTTAACACGAAAAACTAGATACAATTACAAAATAGGTGACTCCGTTTTGACACGTACTGGTTCGGACGTCTATGTCGGATGAGTGTTTACCTCTGGAATGACCTATACAGCTTTTTTCTAAATCAGTTTTTGACGCTGATTCAGAAAAATATAGTTAGAATTTTTTAGCTTGCAATACAACTTTAAAAAAATTACTTTTATGATGGAGGTCGGTTTTTGAGGCTTTTCAGATCTTCACAGTTTTTCACATTTTTCCCCATGAAGAAAGAGCTTTTAAAAGCTGCGAAGGTGATATTTGAGATCAGCTCGATGCAGCGAATCAGAATATGTATAATAAAGTCAGAAAAGTTTTTTACTGCAATTTTGAATTAGCTGCATCTTACGTACAGCAACTAATAATGAGACTTTAGAAATAGACAAATCTTCGGCACAAGAATTGTGTGTTCAAAATATAGATTTTATAGATGCATTAACAATGCTGCGAACACTACTAGTAGATTTTTACAAAAATCATCACGAAAACAAGTGTAATAAACTAAATTTTATCTGTTTCTCTACGATCTTTAGTAGTAAAAACTATACCAATCTATACAGAATTTCATGGAGAACACGAATATGTCATTCTTTTTATAAAAAAATGTCAAGGCCAAACTTTTACCCGAGAGGTGAGCATACCATTGTATACTTCAGTAGGAGCCAGTCAGGTCCTGAAGCAAAAAGCTAAACCTCCGAAAACGGATTCTGATAGAGTAAGGTTAGTAGTATATACTGACAAGATTTGAGGCTTATCAACTTGCACACCCCTATCAACTTGCTCACCCCTATAGCCAGTCTAAAAATTTCAGAATATACTCAACTTTAGTAAGGTTACAAACTAGCAAAATAAGAATTAAGTTTTAAAAAAAATTCAGCACGCTGTAGCGCATTAGGTTGCCCCTCCCGTGAAATGGCTCTTTGAGGTGTTAATTTAGTTTTATTATTCATTTATAATAATGGATAAATATAAATTCGTCATTTATATTTAAAAATGCAGATAAACTATTTATTTATCTCTCTAAGGTAAAAATAAATGATCCATTTATGTGTAGTTTATAAAAATAATTTTTTCTTCATTTATTTATCTTTATTTTTCAATATAAATGATCAATATATATTTATTTTGTAAAGGGGGTACACAAATTGACACCCTTACTTATGTTAATCATGCAAAAGACTCTTTTTATGCGGTTTGACTATTATCCGTTCCAGAAGTCAAGGCACTCGGTTGTTTTTTGAATAACTTTTGATTCGAATAAGATGAAGACCTGCGGTTTTCGCCATTCGAAAGAGGAGACTTGGATGCATGTTTTCATAACCAATATCATTTTCAAACGAGTTTTTTGAAATAGGTTTCCTAGGAGATCTTTGGAAAACTACGTCGTCTGTAAAGATTTTCTAATAGGATTGGATTGCTTTTTTCTTATGGACTGATAGCTCAGGATGTCCTCTTCAGAATGGGAGTAACGTGAGACCTTGATTTTCCACGATTCGGGCGTTGTATCGAATTTTCTACAAGTCCAAGGACTGGCACCCGGTGACTATTGGTAGCCTTAAAAACTGATGGACTATGGGTAATCGACCATGCTGAGTTTCGTGGAAATATTTATTTTTAGAAAAAATTTTAAAAATCTAACGAAAAGCCAGTTTTACGAAAATTAGGGTTTTCAGGCTGTTTTCACCTAATATTAAAAAATTCACTATTCACTTAAAAAACATCAGAACAACCTCAAAACTTCAGAATGTAGAGTATTTAAGCTATTCTATATCCTATTCATAGGAGATCTCAAAATAAATTTTACAGAGCTCTTAGAATTTCCAAAAGAGTTTCTGGAAAACCTATTAACAAAAATATACTTTTAGATCTTAAGAAAAAGGCAATACAATCCTATTAGAAAATCTTTACAGACGATGTAGTTTTCCAAAGATCTCCTAGGAAACCTATTTCAAAAAACTCGTTTGAAAATGATATTGGCTATGAAAACATGCATTCAAGTCTCCTCTTTCGAATGGCGAAAACCGCAGGTCTTCATCTTATTCGAATCAAAAGTTATTCAAACAACAACCGAGTGCCTTGACTTCTGGAACGGATAATAGTTCTTTTAGTTCTTCAAAAACTGTGGATGCATCTCAATTCAAATAAAAGAAGGAATTGTAGAATAGCGGGGAAACAAATGAAATAGTATATACTATTGCTATTTGGTTTGATTCAACTTTACACATAAAAATTACTTTTATGTTACATATATAGTTCATTTATACCACATGTATTATTAACTGAATTAAAATAAAAATATTACCATACATTTTAAGATGGATCACTACGACGCACCCGCAGCACCTTATGACGATGACGATGATATACAATTATCATTCGACACATCCACGAACAATAATGATCCAAAAGTTGAATCCGATGTCCAAATTCAGCAACCAGCTATTGGTGGTGCCGCAGCCGTGACTCCCGTCGGTGATAATAGATCTGAACGTAGACACGACCAAAGAGTACAACAGTAACTATATTGTAATAACAATCAAATAGCCCCTGTCTATTATGGTAACCGTGCCCGGGAAAGCAAAGATGGATATTGAGTCGAGTAAGAGTTACATAGAAAATTATTCGATGCAATAGTCAATCCAAATCGTCAGATAGAACCACTAGTTAAATTGGGTATTCGTCATCGAGTGGTTCTGCTGTCGGGTTTTTCAATTACAGAAAAATGAAGCTTGGAGCCGAATATGAACCCTTGAAGTTTGAGGTAGTCCAAAAAGTAGTTTTAGGTGTTGCTGCAGTTCTAGGATTGGCTTTCGATCAGAATGGAATCGGTATGAGTATAAAAGAGTTTGGGACGACAGTGAAAAAGGCGTCTTTAGAGAATAAAAAAAGTCTAGCAGAGATCCATCAGATAGCCATTGTTGGTTACGTGGATGGTAGATCATTTAACACAGAGGACGGACAACAGGTGATAGGATGTATTCGCGAAAATATACCCTGTCTTGATGCTCAAATAGACATTGTTGGATGCTCGATAGAATTTCATGATTTTTGCAATAGATTAGAACAGAGTGAAGTAACGGTTAGGAATGTTTTGAATAAGGAGAGTAATAATATATACAAAATAACCGAATTATTTGGTGAAAGCGACTTGTTGATGAGGAAACATTATGAGGAAGCTTTGAACTCCCTTGGCGACGACTTTAAAAACTCGGATTTACAGGAGGCTCTGGGTTCGTTATTTAAAGCACATACAAAATGCTTTAGCTAAATATTATCACATAATATTTTACTGTAAATATTTATTTGTCATGTGCGATACTGAACAATGATATTCAAAGCTGTTGATAACAATAATAAAAACTAATTTTTTTAAACTTGTTCTTGTTTATTAAAATATAGTTGTGTTTAACTTCAACAAACCAGCGCAGCGCAGCTATGCTTGCACACAAGTCTATGTTACATAGTACATACAACGCTCAACCAAAAACCTAGCAAAATTATAGTTTTTTTAAAACATGCTACTTGAGTACAATAAAAAGGTAAAAATGGACTAATGGATAAGTGTATGTCTGTACCCAGGTGATTGAATCGTACTATCCGATCGTACAAGACCGTATATGAAGCGTACGAAATCATATACGATTCTGTACGATTTACATACGAATCGTGGTATCTGATTTGTCATCTGGTTCGTACTATACGATTTCATACGAAGTTGTATGATCGTATAGGATATTGTACGATCGTATTATACGATCCAGAGGACAAAGCAGATACCACGATTCAAATATGATTTTCATACGATTTGATGTGATTTTATCTGATTCAGATACGATCGTATACGATGTGTTTGACCTGGGTATGTCAGTATATAATCATATGAGATAAGAAGAAGCAGGGAAGGGGGAATAGGTAACTCTAGAAGTTCTCTCTGCGATAATAAACTTTTCTTGAACTTTGGTATCCGAAATATCAGCCGTGTTTCCACTGGCAATTCATTGTATTCTTTCACTGTACGATATATCATTGAGCCGTACAACATAATCAAACCACAACGCGGAGTTGGAAGTAGCATCTTCTCGCGACTTTGTAGTGAGTGTGAGAAAATAGTAGAAGGATCTGGACGTGATGGCAGCAGGGTTATAAACTAGCCAAATAGCATAAAGAGATTTTTTTGCATGCTTAACATAAGTAAGGATGTTGATTTAGTGGGCCATGTTTAATGGCTTTCGTGCTCTTTTGATATCATTTTAAGTTCTTTGTTTGTTCTGTAATGAATACACATTAATCTATTCTGTCATCGTATCACAGTTACTTTCGTAAAGGAGATTAAGGAGTTTTATCAGAAAAACGTCGCGTTTTTTTGTGTACACGACGAGATGGTTTATAATTATCCGGCTGTTATGTTTTATTTTAGCTTTTTCATCCGCGGCTGTAACGACTAATTTTAGCAAAAAAAACTGTACTGGCGTTAAACGATCTTTACTCAAAGTATTTGCATTATTCTACCTCTTTCACCTAGACCAAATATCAACACCGCTCGATAGAGAATTTCACGGGCTACAAAATGATATCTAAGATAGTCTTAAGAAAATGTAACTGGGTATCCTAAGATCCGAAATACTCGCCGGCATCCCGGTAAAGCGCTAGGTCAGCGTTGTTCATATCTATAATAATGAGTAATTTTCTCGTTATGCTGTGGTTCACCATTCGTAATCTCTAAAAAGAAAATGTGGCTGATGGAACCTTTCATGGTTCTAGCAGAGATGCAGAACCTTTGAAGGTTCGATAGTTTTTGCATTAAACCAACAAAGGTTCCAGCCGATGTCAAGAACCATTTCGAATAAAAATGGTTCTACATTTTAAAAAAAGATTCTAGCAAGAACCTGTGTTTTTTCTGTTGAACCATTTTGCAGCTGCAGTCATCCGCCGTATCTGTGTTAAAGGCTAACATCTGCTAACGTTTTCTCCTCTTTGTTCAACTCTCTTCGTCTCTTATATTCTCTCAATATGATATATATGTTGTCACATTGCACATTTTCAATAGTTTCATTTTTTGCTATTGGATTCTGAGTTATTGAGTAATATCCATTCATTCTGTTATTCATATTTTCATTTGTGCAATACCTCTGTATGTGGCCAGTTTTGCCACATGGGAAACACTGTACTCCTTTTCTCTCTCTTTTATTCTTTATCCAACAAAATTCCGTAGAATGATGTCTTTTTGGACCACAATTGTCACATTTTGCATTACAATTGAATTTTAAGTGTCCATCTTTACCACATCCGGTACATTTCTTTTTTTCTTCTCGTCTTCCATATTTGTTGACACCCTTTGATATTATAGGTGGTGTCCCATCGAGATCCTTCAGGGGCATTTTTGAATTCTCTTGCACATTATCGATATTTATTGAAACATAATTTGGTGCAATTTCTTTCATTTCTAAGCGGAATATTTTATTCCAAGCTTTTTCAATAAAATCGCTCAAAAATTCACTCGTCCCTCTTTCAATATCCAGCATCTGCTGTTCTTTTTTCATTTTTAGTATTTTCTCTCGTAGAGTTTCAAGTTTAGCCTCGTCTCATCAATTGTCTTTTGAATGGCATCCGCTTCGCACTGCAGAAATGCTTTTCTCATATCGGATGTTATTTGTTCCCATCTTTTTCGGAGTGAGGGATCCTTTGCTCCAAATATTTGCACAGGTATTTCAAAATTAAATGTGCGTGGTATTATGTCATTTTCCGCATAATAGCGATTAATCGCCAAATGGTTCCGAAATCGATAAAATCGCTCATATATATGTCTAATGTATCTTCTTCCGTCGTCATGTAAAGGGAGTTGAAGATGTCATAAAACCCTCGGAGAGGTCTCATTCTGCTCAACATTGAATACTCCATCAATCTAGGTGCTTTTTATAAGAAAATGACAGAGGTTTTTCAGAGATCTAATTTTCTGAAAAACGTATTGAAATCCTCTGAATCTTCAATAGCGATTGTGTCAGATTTAACATCGTCTATAACCTCTAAATCCATAATTACAGTCTTTTTGAGTAAAAAATGCAAAAA